GGGGGGGGGGAGGAAACGGGGGGAGAGAGTATGGTGAGAGTATGGTGCGTGACGCAGGGGAAGCGCGATTCAAAATCGTGCGAGAGAATTGGGGTGCCCTGTGTAATGAGCATGGCCAATGGGGAGGGGTTGGGCGTTGCGCGATGTTTCGGGCGACGGCGTTGCAGGTACAGGTATTGTATCGACGCGTCGCCTTGCGTTGGCAATGCGCGGAAGGAGACATAAGGTATGGCGTATGGCGCGGCGCGGCCGGGCTACCGATGGTCGAGTGCCCTTCCCCGCCTGGTACAGTACAGAGACGGCCGCGGCCCCGGTTTCGACTGCGACGGCATCTGCACAGAGATATTTTGCGGAGGGGTGTTTGTACGATAAATGAGCGATAAATGAGCGATAAGTGAGCGCGCAAGCTGGTTTCCGCAAAGCGGGCGCAGTTGGGGACGTTGGGGGTTCGTAACGGTGGCGTGCGTGGGCTAGTCGGGCAAGGTCGTGTCAAAGGGACCGCGATGGAAGGCGGGGGCGGGACGAGGCGAGGCGAGGCGAGGCGGCGGGCGGCACTGGAAGTGACGGGCGGGGAGGGGAGCCGCCGGAGCGCGATAAGGCGAAGCGGGCACGTGTGGATGACAGGGGACGTGGCGGTGACGTGATGAATTGCGCCGAATCAAGTTAATCAAGTTGCTATCAAAAAGTTGAGTTGTGCCCAAACTCAACGACTCGAGGGCCGTTAAACTCGACCGTGCTGACACCGGAGTCCACTTGCGAACAAATTGACCAATCGCCCCCGCCGCAGCGCGTCATCTTGACCTTGTGCCCGATCTCTCCGATCGGGGATTACGGACAGGCTGCACTGTGGCGAGGCAACCTGTCCGCCGCCGCCCCCTTCCTGGGTCACACCCATCTTGAATTCGCACCACAAAACTACTTCCGTGTCTCTATCTCCTTTGCCCACGCACCACTTTCCACGTATGCTCCCCCGCTCTTCATTCCATTCCATTATTTTACACTGCCTCCCATCTTGCCATACACACACACACAGACCCCTCCTCTCCTCGCATGACTTACGCTATTTTCCGCGCTAACCATGATTGCTTTCATTACGCCTGTCCCTATTTCACCGCATTTGTCTTCTGCAGTACCCTTCGCCACAGCCATGCACGCTGCACTACAGTATCCCCACGCCCGTCTTCTCCCGCAACGGCTTCTTCTTCCACGCTACCGTACAGTACAATGTTATGCAGTACCGCTACGTACAGTAAGTATTCTTGCACACCGTGAATGCAACCGTCGTCCCAACCCGTCCGGCATGGCCCAAACTCCGAACTCCGTTTGTGAGTCCTGCTTGACAAGCCATCGACACATCGCGTCACATCTCAACGCCAAGTCCTGCAGGACCCGCCCACGCCACCCGAATTTCAATCCCGCACCTACACCATTGTCCAGTTTACTGCATGTGCGGGATTGGAATGAATTCATGCTACATTAACGGTA